CGGCGTACGTGTCCCGAATGGCTTTACGGGTTAATCTATAACGGACATTGTTATCTCAGATCGGCAGTTTCGTCTCCGCATCGCCCAGTAGTGGGCGAAAGCTCTATCGGCCCGATCACAACGCCTCAGCACGAACATCGCCCAATTAACGTTAGCAATAACGCATTCCGTATCACGTCCAGTCGATCGTTCGGTGATATTTAGCCGACTGCTTGGTTTGTTTTTTTTTTATGTGAAAGGGTCGCAAACGAGCTGGCGGTTCACCTGATGTTAAGTGATAACCGCTGCCCATTTACATTTGCAACACCCGTTGCGTTGCAGATGCGTTGCTAACTTTTAATAAAGTGGGCCCCGACTTACCAATCGAAAGCAGAAGTGTAATACTACCATTTCACGCCGGTCTTTTGTGAGGTAGAGTTATTTAGCCGGACCGACCTGCCCATTCGTGCAACAGCGAGGACTGTTGCGTGGTCCCACAACAGTATTTTTTAACAGACAATAGAGAAAAAACCAATAAAAAAAAGTATAACAGAGTTGTTTGTATCACTCAGTAAATAACATCTGCATATTTTATTTTTAATGGCTTTATACTATAGCTTTGACAATTTCAACGTTTATGTTGGAAAATCATTGTATCAATATTATTTATGATAAAAAATATGTAGAAACATTTTACCTGATCATGTTCTGATACACTTTAAAAGAATCGTCATTAGGTATTGTATTCTCTATAAGCAGTAGTCTTAAAAAGTTCAACATAAATAAAATACTATATGATCATGCTCGTACAATTAAATCTCCATGTCTTCTGCACCGAACGCTTATAACTGAAGCACGAAAGTTTGCCGTCAGACCGTATTATTGTACCGTAAGAGAAAAGTAAATTAAAAATTATTGTTCTCGTTTATCATAAGTATCTAAGTTAATGTAGCGATGGTAATTCCAAACCACTCAACAAAGGCTACGCGAGTCTGGCCTTTGAGGGTACGGCCATTAAAACACAGAGCTACCTTAATAGCAGATGAAATGTTTAATATTCAAACTCTCTCTATCTTACCCCTAACGACGTAGAAATAGCTATCTTCTTCACAAAAGTTTTCCATGTAATGTTGCACGAGTAGAATTATTTTGACTAACTGATAGGAAACGACCTAATGTAAATGGTGTCAGATAACTGCATATTAAAATTATTTGGGCACCAAAGTTAATTTAGCTATCGACAAGTTTAATTCACTAGTAACAATAAAAGTTACAAAACAGATGCCTATATTCCACGAGTTTATCTTTTATTGTTTTCTAATAGTTAAGGGTATCAGCAAAAATAATAAATAGATCGGTTATTCTTAAGATTTTATTCCACAGAAGAGTTCCTCGTTAAAGGCCGCAATATTAACAATACATTGAAGAAAAACAAAATTTACACGTAAAAAATCTAATTTCTCAGTGATATTCAGGTTTCTAAAGTCGCCTCGGTGTGGAAATGAGACACCGAGCCCTCACTTTGCTCGCGTCCATTTTAAGGCATCGCCGGGTTTCTTTCATTCGGACAGTTTTTAATTTACGACAATGCTTTTGCAATTAAAGCACACTGCAGACCTCGGCCACTTAAAACGGACTCTTATCTGATTCCTTTACAGACGCGTCCTGCGCTATGGCGGTGCGACTTTTTACCGCGCACCTTATGGTTCCGCGTAACGTACGGCCTGTCGGGTTTATGTGACGCCATTTATGAAGCGATCAGTCGACGCGCTGCGAAGAAATATCGTTCAAACAAACCTGTCTCTTGGTAATCCTATGGCGGGACTTTTTTGTCGGTCCGTGGGTACATGTGATTGCGTTTTAGTTTTATCCATCAAAATAATGACAGATTCATTAATTACCCTTTGTCGAGATTAATTTTATACTTCGCCGCTGGTCACGTGGACAATCGACCGTTGCATCGCAATTAGTTGTTACATTGGCGCCAGGCCCGAGATAACCCTAATTTAATTGACGCTCCCCTCTTGTGTATCTTTTGGACAGGTTATCGTGATGACAAATGCGTTTACAATTAGGTGATTTGGGTTAGGTTATCGGTCGAATGTGCGTCCGTTCATTGTTTGTTTCATTGATCGATCTCGTGACTGTTTGCGGTTCGTAATTCGTAACTCAACGTTTGTGTGTTTGTTTGGGCGTTTATGCGCCCGTAGCGGTCGCTCGTTAGTCCGGGAGTGTTGTCGGAGCTGAGATTCTGCGCGCAGTGTATTAGTCGTATGTTGGCGAATTGTTTCACGTATGGCCCCCGGTGCGGGAAGGATTTCGTTACATGGGAACGGGCCGTTTTGTTTTCGTCTCACTCGATATTCAGTGACTCACTGCACTTAAGGAGTTGCAGAATGTTGTTCGAATACCCGGAAAGTTTTGTGAACCGATCATATACATACACATCTTATACAGGCCGGCTTTTCTAAGTGTATCCATTTTTTTTTAAATTCTAGACATAAATTATGTTATATAAAAATGATAAATATTTAAAATCACTCGTAAGTAATTAATTACATTCATTTGAACTTATCTCAAAAAGTGCGTGATTTATACGCTACTCATTTATTTTACGCGCGATCATTCATAACTATCACGCACACAAGTTCGTGCGAACTTGTGTGCGTACAAACTAGCAAATGGTTCACCTGATGTTAAGTGAATACCGCCGCCTATGGCCATCTGCTACACCCGAGGGTTTGCAGATGCGTTGAAAACCTTTTTGGAAATTGGGCTCCGGCTACCTCACTCACCAGACGAAACGCGAAAGTATTATACTTCCACTTTACGCCGGACTTCCGTGAGGTCGTTTTACTTCCCGGACGAGCCTGCCCATACGTGCAACAGCCGAGGCTGCTGCGTGGCACTACCACCGTTAAAATCTGTTGCGATATTTACGTTCCTAACGTTGTTTTTACATCAATACTTAGATATTTATGATATTATAATTAATTTATTACCAAGAAGATTAGAAGGTATTTGTACGCATGTACAGGTGCAATGTCTTCTGTAGATGCGTACACAGTATGATATTTTCTTGCTGTCTTCTAGCTTCTATTATATACTGGTTTCACTTCCTTAGCCTTTGACCTGTTCGTTCTGTTATTTGGCCCGACTCGCGATGAATGTGCCGACAGGTTGAATGCTGTGCGGCTCCATATTCGTCTATCTCTGGTCGGCTACCGCTTTTGATACGGCGACCCCGCTACCTTTTGATCTTTGCGCCATTAAAATGAGTTGTGGCGCTCCCGTAAGTATTTCAAAATAATCAAAACGAGTAATACGAGTTAAACGAGATGGACGTGCCTTCGTATAGAGATAGCGTGACAGTCTTTAATGTTGTTTCTATTTAATGTATGGCAATGTTCATAATAAAATTATCTTTAACTCAAATAAAACAGAAATGATTTACTTTATACACTTAATCTTGTCAACAGTTTGAAAATTTAGACAAGAAGTACTTAACACTCTTTTATAAATTGGTTTTATATGATTTGCAAGTACATTTTTAATTCTGTATCCAACGGTATCCTGTGATAATGTTACAATAAAATATAAAGTTTTTCTTCAAAATTTATAAAAACATGGCAATATTTACTATATTAATTGTAACTAAATTACATAACTCGTATACCTAGTCCACGCGGCAAAGTGCTAAGAACGCTAGCTGCATTTCTTCGCTGAATAATAAAAGAACCAGCCTTCTTGACAGTTGATAAGTTCTTTAATTATAGGTCGTTTGATTATAGTACTGTTTAAAAATAAATCGATTACTTATATCGATTGTAATACCATCGTTTTTTCACCAATTTGTTTCTCGAGGCAAAATTTCACCCCTTTACCATCATTGTTTTTACGAGCTTCTTCTTCATCGCTTCGATCAAGTTAATTAGCCGAGTGGGATTTATTATTTGTAGCAACGATAAAACTATTTTTACAACGCCTCATGCGCTCTTCCAAAGACAATACACAAATCCCTCCGTCGTGTGGACTATGTATTTGTTTTCTCAGTAAACAAAGATTTCATATGGTATTCATAAATATTTTCGTCCCAGTGCTATATTTGTCTGTAATTTCGTTCTCCGTATGGTGATGATGTTGATTTCAGTTATAAAATTTTCTGTCTGAAATGGATGATTTGATAAGGATATGTTTATGGAGGCTACCAGAGCTGTTCTCATTATCGCTTCGTACCACTTCAATTAGCCGATGGTAATACAAATCATTAAAGATATATTAAATTAATTCTCTTTCGTAGACAAGTCCCTCAGTTTAGTTTGGATCGTATTAGTAAGTCAAAAAGAACTGAATGTATGATTTTCTCCAGACAGGTCCACTAACAACGAACCCGTCGAAACCGATCAAATTACAAACATTTTTTTACTATCGTTCGATTAATAGTTTCGTAACGAAAGGGCTCCGTTAATTAGTGCCCAGCTCATTTGGTAGTTAAATCGTTTATGTTTATTGATCCCTAATGGTAAATTAATAACTTTCGTATAACGCGTATCGGATTTAATTCTCAGACCCATTCTAAATTTCTATGTCTCTATATGCGTTAAGATAATAATAAAAATGTTAATGACGATGTAATTTGATCACATGTAAGCACATCATTAAGCAATCGTTTTTATAATGCATGAGACATTTAATACGTAAAAGTAATTTGCTTTCTAAATAAATTGGTGTCTTCGCATGCCATGTCTATGTTTTGGGTGGTTTTATATCGGCTTATGACCTAAGGTCGCTTGTTCGAAGCCCAGCACGAAATCCCGTTTTCCTTATAAGCTGTTATAACGAGCATATTTTTGATAAGGCCAAAAGCAAGCACACCATTTGTTGTCTAGCCATAAAACCTCGTTATGGTTTTTCATGATTATATATAATGCCAGTTGTCTGACGATGTTTGTATGCTGCTGACCATTACAAGAAGGTTTGCGCTGCTTTAGCACTAGAAGCCTAGCTAATTGTGGGACCGCATGCTTCGCAGTCGATTGTTGTTGTGGCCCGCGGCGCGTCGGGCCCCGCTACGTGGACGTCGCGCCGCGCATGCCCAACGATCCCGCGGACCCCGCGCCACGTACCAGCCGCTGATTTATTGGCCGTCATTCGGCCTATCCAATTTAATCGCGACACCGTCCATTTTCGGCGGGCCGGGCACTTTTGCAACCTTGGGTGTCAACTGGCGCCTATGCGTGATTTACACGTACTCTAGAGGAATCGGTGATAAGTTTGCGCGCGGCTTATTTCCTCTGCAGTATAGCTATAGGTATTACGTGACACGTGCGATGTTGCAGTTATGTAACCCGACGTAGTATTTAGAATAGTAAATTTATACGAAAATTCATTTATGTTTTTACACAGTTTGGGGAAAATTAGTATTCTGAACATCATAGCTGCATTTTGTGACAGATTGTGTAATTATATTTCTCACGTTTTGCCTCCTTTTCTCCCATAACTTGGATATTTGCACTGGGTCTTTAAATCGAATTTTCCTTTATAATTTCCTCTTTCATAATAACTAAATGTCTTTTCTTCTGTCTTTCATTTATAGCACACGTTCATTCATATTATCCATAATTCGCTCGCTCATTGCCTTCACTAATTTATATATAAAGCCGCCTATTACGGCATATCCGGCCACTTTATTACTTCCGCGACCTTACCGGAATAAAGAGACAACATATTTAAAAGAAATTTATGTGCTCTGTCGCCTTGTCACTTATCAGTTTGAATCTCGATTTGGCTAGTGGGCCCGTGGTATGTGGTTTAACGGGATCGTTCGGCAAGATTCGGCTACAGAGTCGAATTGTGATGTGCAGCATGTTTTCTTTGCTAAAATATAATGTAAACAGAATTTAAGTCGGTTAAAATATCTGTTGTTTTCTAGAGACACATTTTTTTTAAATTTTAAAGTTTTTTATAGTGCTAATCTCTGCACTTAAGATTGAACATTAAAACATGTAGAAAAAGTACGAAAAGATAGTCGTCAATCGATGCTAAGGCGTAAAAAACTTTAAAATTTATAAAAAGCAATGGTGACATCTCTCATTCGAATTATCGTTGTAAAATGATATTCGAAATTGTTTGTATGCTGGAAAGGATATAACAATAGACGCGCCAAGCATTGCTTTTTCCACATGTTTTAACATTTTTTTTATTAGCTTTACTCAGTTTGTACCGTTCATAAATTTGATACTGGTCATGTTTCTGTTAAACATTGAGGTCTTGAGTGGGTTTAGTTTCTTCCTCTGGTGTACAATTATTGTATATGAATTGTGTTTATTTATTTAAAAACTCTGCACAATAGCGTGCAATGGCGCACTTAACACCATTTAGATGTTGTCTACCAGTCAACAGACAAATAAATAAGATTAAATAAAAATAAGATTCATCTTATTTTCTCTATTTATTTATTATATATTTTCACTGACGAAATGAAGTAGAAATTCTTTGCATCGAATAAAATTGCGACTAACGCGACGGCAGCTTGACTGAAGTGTCCGAAATTATCGTGAACACGGCCGCAATAATAAAAAATGCAATTGGGGACACAGTGCATCTTCTCCCGCGCAATCCCGAAGGCTCATTAGCCACGTCGACGAGGCCCGTCCCCCGTCGTGGGAGCTCGTCATTAATCACGCCGCTAATGGCCCGTGCGGTTTCGGAGTCGAAATTGCAAATTACGCACCGCCGCGTCGACTCAGGTGTGATCGAGGGGCCGCGGCTCCGCCAAACTGCCGCGCGTTTTTTGCGAGATCGAAATTATCTTCCTGTTGATGCACGCAATGCTCTGAACGTCTGATGCATTCGGTGCATCGGACGGAAGAGCTGATTGATTAGTTCAGATCACGCCGATTAAGCTGGAAGCGTACGGAAAAGCTTTCATTAATGTCGCTCTTTCGTTGGGATAATTTTTGTAGGTATATATATGATGATCATAATGCTTCTGCCCTTTTCCCATCGTGTGGTTGGGCCGACCACATGCCTGACGTCAACCCTCGCGCTTTTGGGAAACATAAACCCAGAACCGGAACATTTATCACAACACACATTTAATTATTTTATTTTGTTATATTATTATAATACTTTACTGTTTTAACCTATTTTTTTTCTTTTTTGTTATATTTTTTCTCTTTTTTTTTGTAATTTTATTGATTAAGCTGTGTACCGGAACGGGTGACGGAATAAATGTCTTTAATGTCTTTATCTTTGCGTCACACAAATACCTGTCCCGTGTAGGAATCGAACCCACGACCCTCGACGCCGAAGCCAATAGCTTATCAACGGCGCCACACATATATTATAAACACTATTATATACTCGTATATATAGATTCGCGTTTCGAAATGCTTACGTTTCGCGCATTCGTGCTGCTGAGTGTATATTTGATGGCATTAACACTTTATGGCCGTGATAAACGGGCGGCTTTATCGTTTTGCGAACGGTCCAGCTTTCGGCGAGCACATTAGAGCGCTGCCAGTTTGTTACCTGTCGCGGTGAATCTGTCGACGCGTCAGGAGCGGCGGTGGTATGACGGTGCCAGCTTTTACTCGCGGCGACGCCCGCGTGAGTTTCGTATAGAGCGCGGTTGATTTCATAAAGTAAAAGCATCGTAACTGGTGATCCAGCACATCTCTTTTCAAATTTCATTGAGATTTGTTCAGCCAAATAGCTTGTAGAACCGATAATCGATAGGGAAGAAAGGTTCTCGAGTGACAGCCTCGTACCGGTCATCGCAGCATAGGACGACCCCCGCTAGATTGAGTGACGACCTGTGCAAATGTGCGGCAAGTCAATGGATGCAGTTGGCTCAGGGTTGTGCTTCGTCGCTGCGTGTGGTGGAGGCCTATATTCATCAGTGTATTCTAACAGGCTGAAATTAATTAATGAAAAAAATGCGTGGTGGAGGTCTTTCTTCAGTGGACCATAGTAAACTGAAATGAATGTGTTTAACCACTGTGATGTGAGGTTTGTCGCACAAACAGACAACCACACATTCCTCAACGTTTATGTTAGTGTGAGGTGCGATTAATGCGGAGCGTTGCGGGCATCGACCCCCTCCCCCCAACCCGTCTCAGATTCATCACAACTTCAATTAGCGATTGGACGCGCTTCGGGAGCAATTGCCGGGTATGGGATGGTGTTCTCTATCTCTCTCTTCCCCTTTTTCACCTGACCTCAAAGATTGAATTTGGTTCGTATGTTTTTTCTGAATACTCAGGAATAAAGAAATACGACAATATATTTAATTTTGCCAGGGTGCCTATATGTCCCACAGCTGGGTTAAGGGTTCTTGTACAGAGGAAATTGTTAGGGTAGATATATATAGTGCCAAGGCTTCCTACTTACTTGCTTACGACGCTTTTGTTCTTAGACAAGTTCGTGGTAAATTAATGTTAAAAAATGCAGCAAATTTGAACTCAGGATCTTTTACTCTATAAGTGTGTACTTTTTAGGGTTCGGTACCTAAAGGGTAAAATGGGACTCTATTACTAAGACTATGCAGTCTGCCTGCCTGCCCGTCTGTCCGTCTGTCCGTCTGTCCGTCTGTCTGTCGACAGACAACTGGTGACAACCAGGTGTATCTCAAGAACCGAGACAGTTGAAATGTTCATAGATGATGTATTTCTGTTGCTGCTATAACAACAAATATTAAAAAACGGGATAAAAAATATTTAAGTGGTACATGCAACAGAAATTTTTGACGCCGTTTTTATTGATAATGGTTCGGAACCTTTCGTGCGCGAATCCGACTCGCGCTTGGCCGGTTTTTCAAGAATTGAATATATAGTATCGGTGTCCTACGAAAAGATAAACGAGCCAGTCAGAGCGAAATTGTCTAACCGCTATCTCCTGATTGGCCGACAAGCTCACTAGGTTTCCGAGACAGGATAATAGATTACTGGATAGCGTGACGTGTTTAAGCTTGTCATTATGTTGCGTGCCGGTGGTAATGCAGGGAGCAGAGTTGCCTCAAGTAGCACGCCGCGGGCCCCGAAGCGGATTGCGTGCTAGTTCATTCCAATAGGAGTCTTGTTCGTCTCACTTCCTTATCGCATCGATGAGAAGCATACCTTCACTTAAGGAAAGTTGTTAGGCTAAATATTAATACGTCGTTGCTCAGCTAGACACCGAACCTAATCAATAGCCCGCTGAAATGATACCGTGTGAAAGAAACTTAAATAACTCCTATAACTCACTAAGGCATGAGACGTAAGACGAAATGTAGTGCTTAAACCACCTTTTTTTTTGGTATCGGGGGGAAATCTTCAAAAGAAGGTTCGTACCCACTAAAACCCCCTCGGTGGCCACCTTCTGTTTTGTTTTGTCCACCTTTGGAGGGACTCCGGGATCTCCTACGGAACGCACCGGTGTCTCTCAGTACTGCGCGTGAGCACGACTCGGAGAAGGGTAAACTTTCCCCGATTCTCGCGCCGTCTTCCAGCAGCACGAGACCACTTCGTGCTGTTGCCAATCCGTGTCCCCTTTTAGTCGCCTTTTACGACAGGCAGGGGATACCTTAGCTCTATTCTACGAGCCCGAGACTACGGGGCTGAGTGCTTAAACCACCTACGACTAGTTTACTAAGATTAAGTATTTTCGACAGTGAAATGGTTCGTCTTAAAATTATTGTAGATCCCTGCACGAGTGACGGATTTGCGTCGCTGAAGGCTTCATTCTTAGGCAATGCTTGCGATCATAGTTCGCTGGTTCGGACAGGAAGGTGCTGTAGGGGTGTCGTTGAGGGTCTGTGCAATCGACGCCTATTCAAATTCGGGTAGGTTACGGCCAATAAGATACTTAAATTTTACTATAACCGTTAAAAAAGTCCCTTTCCATCTTATTCTCGAATCATGTACGTTTAAAACGAATCAATAGTCATCATAACGATCGCACGGTTTTCAATTTGATCCAAACCCCAGGACAGTGGACACGCAGTCGACCTATGTAATTATTAAATTCATGTCGAAGATACGTGCAATCTGCAATAACAAACTGAACTTATTTGATTCTCCTTATGGGACATTGATGTTTTCACTACTGTGAATAATACTTTATTTACACAGTTATTCGTCAACGTTGTATTTTTATCTTGTATTTCTTCAATTATCTATAGATGAGTTGTGTCGAAAGCTATCGAAGAAAATATGAATAACTCAGATCGTGATAATTTTAATGGATTACTACGAATCGTCATGTCCACTTTGAGGCGATAGTGCCTTTTAATTTGATGTTTATGTTTACAGGGGTTTAGCGGTTTATCAAAAATCCATCCATTGTTTGCGATGAAGCTTGACAGTGATGACATATATTAGATAGATATCTTTTCGTTATATCTGAAGTATGTGGCGATCTCATTATAAAATCTTGATTTTTATATTACACCAAGATAGAAAACATCGTTACAAAATATGTTCCGTGTCAATACTTTATCTGTGACACTATGTAGATAAGAAATATAAAATATTGCCATGCCCGAGACCGTCCGAATCTCTTTTTTATAAACACGTGTGTAATTAATTAATTAAATCGCCAAACGTGCACGAAGTAGATTATAACCCACGCAAAATTGATGTTACTATGCATTTTTTAGTATCGGTAATCTGATATGTGAACATATTTTTTTTTTCGGAGCCAATATCACATTAATTAGTCCATATGGTTTTTTTGAAACTGTGATTTACTAATTTTCGAACCATCGAAACTATATGCCGCTGTGCTTTCTCAGAGTCTTGTGGTCTCCGTAACTGTTGGGACATTATTGGCGTGCGAATCTATTGTAACTGGCTGCTTAAGTAGTTGGCTCGAGTAAAAACGTATGGAGCGAACCACTGCCGCTAATGGGAGTCGACGTCTATGGCAGAACTATCTTGTGCAGTGGTGATTTATTGGTCGTGTATGTGAGAAACGCCGGGCACACTATCGAGGGTCGCAGTAATAAGGTTTTTGCTAGAAACGGAAACCTGTTTCGCTGCTTTATGCGTTCGATGACGTTTACTAAAGCTTTGTGGCGTGCACATTTTTATAATTTATATCCAGTGGCTTGCCAAAGCCATACATTATGGTTCAATTGGAACAATTGGAAGTTATATTGTAATATTGGTGAGAGTCAAGTAATTGCATGAACAACAGATAATTTTTCGGAATCCGAGTGTTTGTTTCGAAGGAGGGTTGACATCAAACTGGTCGTAAAAAATCTTGCCAATACCATTAACAATATGGTTTCACATTTCGTGCCAATCCCCTCTGCACCGGCAGAAGTTTTGTTAAATAATACAACTTCGTCTGTAACCTGGATTTATCCCAAGTCAGGAGAATTACTCCGATCCTGAACTCGTCTAGAAATGGAACTTTAAAATTAATTACAAAATTCATCTTCCACGCTACGCTATGACCACGGCGGACAAACAGCTTCGTCGGACCGTAATTAATCAATGTCGATCGCGGTGAATTTCGACCTTCATGTCTACGCGTCTAAAGGCCGAGTTCGCCTGTCGACCCGACACGTCACCGGAGTGATAGACTCCCACTTTTAACGTGACGGATCGTGTGAAGGGGAGGTGATGGACAACAACTCTACGCGGGATCGGATGATGGATACTTTCGCTTTCGCAATAGGACTTAGTATGGCTGCCTATTGTACGCCTGTTGATTCACGTCAAAAAGTCACTCTATTTCGCGCACGGTCTGCAGTTTCGAATGACAATTGGCAGTGACATGTTAATATTTTGTCGGCGCGCTGTCGTCGACAATCATTGCAAATGTACCGGTCGCATGACCGAACAACATAGATGGAAAATAGTTCGTTGACGTTTAATAAAGCGCCTATATTATATTGAAGGATGGTTATTGGTGATGGTGATTTTTCAAAAACATTACCCTCACTTTAGGATAACATTATCCTGTGTTGTAAGGACGTTTTACAAACATAAATTACACGAGGACAAACACCCGGATGCCAAACAACTATCTGTGGGTCGCACAAATAGTTGTCCCGTGTGGGAATCGAACCCACGACCCCCGACGCCGAAGCCAATACCTTGGCAACTACGCCACGGAGTCATCAATGGATGGTTGGTTGGTTTGTTTGTTGTTGGATGTTTTATACTACTAAATTTGTACTTATAAAGTACGAACGAAAGTCGTAACACTACACATCTTGTCCATTACTTGTTGCGATGTAATATTAACATTTATGTTTGTACTAGAAATGTGTAAATTCCTAAATAATTTAAAATAAAACAGAAAATGTTTCAAACGTTTCTATATAAATAATTTAAATATTTAAAAGTCATAAAATAGAAGTTAAGCTCCATGATATTACATTGCTAAAGTTTCACTGGAACACATAATTTAATCTTAAATTGGGAATCGTATGAGACACCCACAAAACAGGCGAGCCTAATGTGGGGTATCGGATATCAGAAACTTGTTACAATAATTTTTTTTATATCAGTTTCGCGGTCATTTAAGTGACAATAATTTCGACATCTGCCGCTTTGCTATACGCTCTATTGCAATTTCTTGATTTCATGTACATGGTAAGCTACGTATTACACTACATGTTGAAAGTGCCAATTATACGGAACTAATTATCGCAGGTATAGCTA